ATTTCTTATAATCTTGCTGTATTGATCTAATCTATGCTTTGTTTTGGTGTTTTTAAGGGCAAATGTTGCTGTGAGAAGAGAGCTTCATACTCCAGAATCTGACCGTTCGTGCACCCATTTGGAATTTGACATTGCCGGAAGTGGATTGACGTGAGTTTTACTGCTATTTAAGAATGTCTACAGGATCAGTGGAAATATTCTTGAAAAATAACATGAATGTATGTTTATATCTTGTCTGTCAGGTATGAAACTGGAGATCATGTTGGTGTACTTTGTGATAACTTAGATGAAACTGTAGAGGAAGCGCTTAGGGTGCTGGATATGTCCCCTGATACTTATTTCTCCCTTCACTCTGATAAAGAAGACGGCACACCAATCAGCAGCTCGCTTCCTCCTCCATTCCCACCTTGCAACTTGAGAACAGCGCTTACACGATATGCCTGTCTTTTGAGTTCTCCTAAGAAGGTTGGTTGAATTACAGCTGATTTTTTTATTCAACTGGTTATGACCAGCTTCGTTTGTCGTCATAGTGATCTGAATACAATTGTTTTCTTGCAGTCCGCTTTAGTTGCTTTGGCGGCTCATGCATCTGATCCAGCTGAAGCAGAGCGATTAAAACACCTTGCGTCACCTGCTGGAAAGGTTTGTGCTTTTTTTTGGCGTCTGCTCTCCGGTATCCATTGTAAAATTTTCTCTGACAAGTATATATTGTAATCCTTTCAACACCAGGATGAATATTCAAAGTGGGTTGTAGAGAGTCAAAGAAGTCTACTGGAGGTGATGGCCGAGTTTCCCTCAGCCAAGCCGCCTCTTGGTGTCTTCTTCGCTGCAGTTGCTCCAAGGTTGCAGCCTAGGTTCTATTCGATATCATCATCTCCCAAGTGAGTAATTCTCATTGTCTTGGTCTGTTGTCTTTAAGTTGCTAGCTTGAGACATATCTGTTTTTTTTTAGTGTATTGAACATTGTTCCGTTTACTTTTGTAGGATTGCTCAAACTAGAATTCATGTCACTTGTGCACTGGTTCATGAGAAGATGCCAACCGGCAGGATTCACAAGGGAGTGTGTTCGACTTGGATGAAGGTAAAAAAAAAACGTAGATCTGACAGCTTCTTGCAAACATATCACATTTCAATATTTTTGCTGTTTGTTTCTTGTCGAAACATGTGAACTCTAGGATTAAATCTGGGTGCTTTTATTTTTTTCCTTGTAATCACAGAGTGCTGTGGCTAATGAGATGGATGAAAACTGCTCCTCAGCGCCGATATTTGTTAGGCAATCCAACTTCAAGCTTCCTTCTGATTCTAAGGTACCGATCATCATGATCGGTCCAGGGACTGGGTTGGCTCCTTTCAGAGGTTTCCTTCAGGAAAGACTCGCGCTGGTAGAATCTGGTGTTGAGCTTGGACCATCAGTTTTGTTCTTTGGTTGCAGAAACCGTAGAATGGTGATAAATCCATTTCTCAAAACTCAAGCCTATCACTTATGATCATCGGGTTGTTCAGTTTCTCAAGTCTTGTCATATTTTGCAGGATTTCATCTACGAGGAAGAGCTCCAGCGATTTCTCGAGAGTGGTGCACTCGCAGAACTAAGTGTCGCCTTCTCTCGTGAAGGACCCACCAAACAATATGTACAACACAAGTTGATGGACAAGGTATGTCTAATTTCTCAAAGCAACGTACAATGAAAAACTCAGACCTTCGGATTCATATTCACATTCTTGTGAAATGCAGGCTTCGGAAATCTGGAATATGATCTCTAAAGGAGCTTACGTATATGTTTGTGGTGACGCCAAAGGCATGGCTAAAGACGTTCACAGATCTCTCCACACAATAGCTCAAGAACAGGTTCGTGTATCTGGTTTACTTTATTATCATTGTCCGAATCACAAAACCGACTCTGATTTGGTTTACGTTATGTGTTCTTGTCTTTTGTATTCAGGGACCAATGGATTCGACGAAAGCAGAGAGCTTTGTGAAGAATCTGCAAATGAGTGGAAGATATCTGAGAGATGTATGGTAACGAAAGTATTGAAGCTCCTCACCAATACACTCACTGTGTACTTTATATTTTATTATATATACGGCACAGAAATGGCACATCTCATGATGATCATTAAGTTTGTGATCGAAAGAGGAAAGGAACCTCTCTTTTTCTTCCATTTTTAATTTAGTTTCATATATTTTTCTTGACAATTCTATTTGTTTTTAACTCTTTGTTATATAGCCCCAACTCA